GTATGATTTTTATTTTCCAAAACAATTTATAGTTTTTCGGAAAATAAAGATAACAGACACTTATGTTGAAGTCAATGTCTGTCTGATGATAATTTCAAAAGATTGAAGTTTTGAAATCAAATTTACGCTTATAAGCGTGCATAGCAACAAATTTTGAGCCACACGCTACGTGAATTTTCCAAGCCAGGAACAGTGTCAGCTTCATCAATACCTTAGAAGAAAAGTATGGTATGGTAATTCCATGGTTACTCTTACTTAGCTAGGCTGCCACAACCAAAAGTCAAAGACAGTGAAACAGAAATTGGATGAGTGAAACCAAAACTCTGTGGTCGCTGGTCAGAGTTTTGAGTGGGTCTTCTGACACATGAAGGGAACATGGAGAAAGACAAATCCACCTTTGTGACTTAACTAAGGAGAAACAAATGATAAAGAATTTCATGAAGGGAGCCCACTTAGGAGCTGGAAAGTTGAACAGAATAATGTGAGAGAGCTAAAAAAAGTCATAGTCATTCAGCAGAATTAGATCATATCAAGTAACATCAAATTCTTCTAATTAAAATATATATTATAAAATGAATATAAGAAATAAATAGACTAGAGAGTTATATTTAAAAAAATACTAATCATAGATATTTTTGTATAAAATACGTTGTATTTGTGGTTTTTATGATTGTTTTAAAATTAAATTCATAATGATTTCTAATTTGTTTAATCATACAACATTTGTAAACATAACTTCATTGACCAATGTAGATCATAGATTTGTTTAAATAGATTTTTCGTAAATAAATAGATGAAAAAAAGTTTCTTATAAAAGCTGGTTTAAATTGGCTAAAATAAGTATGTACAGTTTTCGAAATAGAATCTTTATCTATTATGTGGAAATTTTATGGAAAAATAGTATAAAATGGAAATAATTATATTATAATTATAGTTATTCTTTGACTTAATTTGTATTGCTCCATCTTATTGTAATGTTGTTAATCTATCTATAAAAGAGTGACGCATATTTCTTTTTTATTTTTATCAATTGATATATATTTATTTATCTGAGCATCTTTCTAACTTACAAGAAATATGGAAATGAATGAACTTAATGTTAATATAGGTAGTTTAGGCAAAACTTAAATGAATATATAATTATATATTAATGAGAAAACTATTAATATTTAGTAAGATAGTTCAGTATAATACCTATTTATCACAAATCGTGTAATTTTAAATATTAAAATCTTATAGTCAGAACATTGAAAAAAAAGTTTGTTTTATACATCTCTATTCAACGTATCATTATCTTAACAAATTATAAATAAGTGTTTAGACTACTTTTCAAGAAAACGAGAAGAAAGATAATTAACATATTAAAATTCATTTAGAAAATCGTGAACAATGCTCAAATATACATAATTTTAGTATAAAATACAGTCTTCTTGAGTAAAAAACCCATAAACTTAATTTGTGATAAGAAAGGGAGACTTTTTTTAACGTTATTTTTATAAATTTGATTATATATAAATTATTATGATTGAATGGAGGTGTAAACAAAATTATTAAATATAATTTGCAAAATTTAACCTTCCAAATCTTTGCATTTCAGCGATTATAAAAAATCATAACTTTCTGAAAGTGTATTAGTCCATCAAAGATATAGAAAAACACAAAAGCAAAAGAATATTTAATATGAGCTTAGCCAAATTTAAGGACTTTTATATTTATTCAGTGAAAAAATTATCATATCAATTTTTTTTTTCTCAACTTATCATACAAGATTACTAGATTCTCTACATCGTACGCATGCGTATTTACATGGCAATTTCAGTAAGAAGACTGCGACTGAGTATAGTTTCCACAATCCAACCAAGAAACTCTTCTGAAAAATAATATTCAACTAAATCATATGATCGAAAGTATATTTTATGCATCATTCTTTTGTATATCACACTTCCGTAATATTAGGTATTTACTTAGTTATTTTATTTATTTTTGTACCGATAACCACAAGAAAAAGAAAAACACGCATAACACATAAATAAATAATAAAAAATTATGTAGATCCATATTTTGTTATGGGTTAGGGTTATCTATTTCATTGTATTGTATTATATGTGTCTTTCCATTCGCGTTCGTGGGATCATGTGAAAAAAGGAACATGCATGTACGTGATTCTGGTAATGTGCAAAATGTGTTGCTTGAATGTTTTGTGAATACCAGAAGTCTCGATCACTAGGCAATTAGTGTAAACGAACATTGCAAACAAGGTTGTTGAAATTTGATGCCAAGATAAGTACGTTCACAAGATGAACATCAAACTAGTGTTATTATTGGAAATCCACGTATAATAAAAATATGTGAAATACAATGTTGTTATCTTTCTTCCACGAGATTCTATGTTTTTTTATGGAATTAACGAAGATGCCCAAACATTAGCAAATAAATTTTCACGTATCGTTCTGATCGATGAGCACTAGCATGAGTGGTGGTGGGTTTAAGTAGTGAGACTTTCCGTGAAGAATTAAATAAAAGAAACCTAACTATGGTTTGTGGTGCCTTTAGTCAAACCCACGTCGTATTCTACGTCTACACCACCCAACCCAATTACCACCATCCACTTTTTATTATCACGTATTTATGATTAAATTAAAATTTATAAATAGAAAAATAACAATATATGTCTTTTATTATTAATCAATAATGTTTCTATTTGGTGTTTGAACCTCAAGTTGATTTTTATATATAGTCCTTATCAATACTTGTATGGTTCCATTTCTTTCAATCGGAGACCATAGTTTCAACTCACTCTCGTATACGGCACATGACCTGAGAACTGACATCGAACATCAACTTCATATTTTCTATTTGAAAGTAACTGTTTCGAGGAAAGTGAAATCCAATAAGGAAAGGTTGAGAGCTCGTACTGTGTACTTGGTCAGGTCAACAAAATCAGCGGGTGATAAGGTGGAAATTGAGATGTAGGTGTGTATGCATCTTCCGTTGATATTTTCAACTAATAACGTAAAGGAAACGAAACATTTCTATAAACTTTGTCATATGTTTTCTTCGAGACTTGTTTTTATAGAACTAATCCCTTGTTTGAAATTCTATAAAAATTAATAAATAATTTGTGAAGAAATATCTTATTCCTCGAGTGGATCGTAGAGAGGTTGAGTTCTTTTGTTAAGAATTTAACTCTTTTAATTTAAATTTAATTGTTTATCCAAGTTTATCTGTTTTATTTACACCGCATGCGTTAAGATGAAAAACATATTGTGAAATTTAATTTATAGTAAAATCTATATTATTTTAATTTATTTAAATAGATTTATATTAAATATAATTTTGAATTTAAAATCAAATCTATTTAATTGAATAATTTTGTATTTTTTTAATTTTATATCAAATCTATTTAATTGAATTGAATAAGATTTAGAATAGGTTATCTTTTGGATTTTGAACCTCGAAATATTTAACTTGAATTATGTGGTTGAAGATTATGTATGGTCAAGTTTGGTTTAGGTTTAAGATTAAATAGAATTAGTTGAAGTTAAAGTTTGAGTCGAACTAATTTAACATTGGTCAAGTATGACCAAAGGTTGAGTCAACTATATTTGAGTTGAAGTTTGAGACAAGTTGGTATGGTGAGGGTCCAGACAAGTTAATTTAGACCAAAAGGATAAAGCACAATCATCATAAGCTTATGTATGATCAAGTCATCATAGATCTAAAGTTGAATTAAGTCGACATGAACACAGATTGAATCGAGTTAGTTTTGGTCTAAATCGAGTCAAATTTTCCAAGTTGAGCCAAACTCAAATAGAACGAAGTCACCACGACCAAGGTTTAATTGAGTCAATTTGGGTCTAAATTGACTAAAGTTAGCCCTAGTCGATATTGAGATGAAGCATTCTAGACTTAAGTTTAGTCAAGTGAACTAAACCTATGACAAGGTTAAACTAGGTCACCCTAACACATATCTAATAAACATAATACTCAATTAGATTATATTGATCTCAAAGTATTTAATCTAATTGTCAAAACATATTTAATTTTGATTAAATATAAATTACATTAAAAAAATCTAAATACGGTTAATCTAATTAAAATAGATTTAGTTTACAAACTCACTCCATTTGATTGGATTTAGACTAAATTTTGAAAAAACATAATTCATTAAGACACTTTTTCACTGAATTAAAAAAAAATCCTTAAATTTATTCAATATTTAGGGTTTATTTGCGGTGTTGATAAAGACACGATTTAAGTGACGAACATGGTGATTGAAAGCATGAAGTCGTTGTGGTGGTTTTGATGAAAAAAAATGAAGGTTGTGTGAGTTGTTGGAGGTGCGATGATTGACTATGGTTGCTAGAGTTTTTGATATGTTGGGAGGTTAAAGATGATGATGTGAGAACATTACATCGGTCAAATTTCTATATGGTGGATAAATACCATGTGACAATTTTCTATTGGACAAATTCCAATTTACATAATGGTGGATGATCACATAAGAAAAAATTAACCAGCTCATTCAAACACTATCAATATACACAATCTCCAGTTAGCAATTTATACAATGTATAAAAAATGACCAAATTAAACATAAACTACAATAAATTAAGATTAAATTGAACAAGAAAAAAGTTTCACATTAAACAAAATCAACTAAAATAAAAAAAAGAAATATTTAAGCCTTATATTTTTGTAAACACGTTTAACCTTTTAAACCTATAAAATATTTTTAAGATTAATTTTATTCAAAACTTAACCATAAACTTAAATGTGTTTATTATTATTTTTCTTTAATCTTTAATTATTTATTAATGAACACATAAATCAACATTAATTCGTACGGAGAGAGATGAGTTTAAAACTACTTTGTATTTCTAAAAGAAAAATAGAGTGAACAAATGACGGTTAATAATGAGAGGTAACAAGTAAAAAAAAAATTGTGGTTTAGGAGTGTTTTTTATTTTTTGTACCAACTGTTTTGCAAATATGGGTGAGATGAAAAATGCTTGAAGCCCTAGTCGTACTGGCTCCTGGTGTGCGAGTGCTACGGCGCTCGTGTCTGGTATTAGCTTGTGTTTGAATGAAGAAAGGGAGGGAATTATTGGTTGGCAGTTACAGAAGGCTTCACCAAAACACCATTCACTTTTCCCCAACACACTTTTACCAAACCATGTCGCATTCTGATCCTCCAAACCGATACTCCTACTTCCCCTCTCTACACTGGAACCCTCAGCTTCACCAATACTTCCTCAATGCCTACGGCGCCGACCACTTCTCTCGCATCTCCGCCGCGCTAACGTACGTACCTCTTTTCATTTTCCGATACTTTTCGTTTCAACCAATCATATCTCGTAACATGCAGTTCCAGACTAATTCCTCTGGAGATGAACATGTTATTACTTTATCTGATTCAACTAACTACTCAACATATTTTAGTTGTTGTAACTGTTTGATTTTCATTGAGTTTTCCAATTCGCAGCCGACCTTCTCGCTACTCGTGCATTCGAGTTAACACGCTCAGGTCCGCCGCCGACGCCGTCATTGAGAAGCTGCGCCCGCTCGTCTCGAACGTGTCGGTGGCGGTGCAATCGGAATTCGAAGATGTCGAGTCAAATCCCTTGAAGGAGTGTTTGGAAGATGCATCTTCTCCTTTTTCCAAATGCAAAATTCCCGGCCTTGAATATGTGGTGTTTGTTTGGGGTTCGGGACCGCACCGTGTCGATTATGGTGAGGCACCTCCTAAGGAGGTCATTGTTAGTAGGAAGTGTGCTGAGGCAGTTCTTCGAGGTGCTCAGGTTAGTACTTTGTTTTCCAGTTGCCGAATTACGTGCTTTGAAGTGTTTGATTGGTTGTTACTAATGTTAGTATTGGCTTTAGGTATATGTTCCTGGTGTGATGGCTTGTAGTGCTCATGTTGAGAAAGGAGATACAGTTGCGGTTTCGGTTGCTGTCGAGCAGCAGGGTGCTGATGGGGGTTGGGGAATTCCTATGACACGTGGCACTATTCTCCAAGGATCCGAGACAGGTAGCGAGTGTGTATTCTTGTTTGGGTGATATGTTGGTAGACCTGACTTTTTTTT